TTTGGTAAATTTTAATTAGCCGCTCTGTTTTATATAGCATGTTAGTTTTATTCCAATTGTGGCATCTCCCGTCTTTGACCACGCGGGACGGGGGTGTTACAACTATGATGCCTCCACCCATTAAGTGTGAGAATGTTCCCGTTGGAAGGGTACAATCTAGATTAAAGAGCCAACTTAAGAAATAAAAGATGGAAARTGGGGCTTCACTCAACAAAAAGAGTGAACTTGAACTTTATCTAAGTGAGTCGACCATAGATGAGACAAACGATTTTGATATTTTAAGATGGTGGAAGGTTAATAGTGAAAGGTTTCCTATTCTTTCGAAATTGGCTAGAGATGTGCTTGTTGTTCCAATTTCAACTGTGGCATCTGAGTCTACTTTTAGTACTAGTGGTCGGGTCTTAGATAATTTTAGGAGTTCTCTATCTTCTAAAATGGTAGAAGCCCTGATATGTACACAAGACTGGCTAAGAGGCCCTAGTCAGCCAATTGCAGTTGAAGAAAAAATAGTTGATATTGAAAAGTTTGAGAAAGGTACGACATTAGTTATGTATTCAGTATTTTAGTATACCTTTTCAACTTGAATTTGTATATTTATATATTACATATTTCTATAAACTCAGACATGATGAATATGAGAATTGGAAGTTCAAGTTCTGTCACTGACCAAGAGGATTCTCTTCCGGTTCCAGCATTGATGTAGATGATCTATAGCTAGATGATATATTGTAGAAGTGACCACTTTGAATTTTGAAAGGTATTTTATTTCTTTGTACAGCCTCCAATATAATGAAATCTTGGAATGTAAAGGGGGCAAACTACAAGCCATACTAGATAATATACCTCTTGTTTTCTTTTATGTTACTTTATCAATTTTCCTCAATATTTCAGGACTACTGATCTAAGTGAAGAAYAKATGCATTGGTGTGAAGACRAGATGACCAAAGTGAGAGTTTGTGATGGRAAACTACAAAGAGATTGAAGATTATTTCCCACTTTTATTTCCTGTATATTATCTTTCCCACTTTTTGGACAATAAACCAATCACAATATAGTGACTTCAAGTTGATCGATGGCTTGTTTGTTTTTAATTTTGCTTGTTTGCTGTCATTGTTTGGTGTTTTGTTGTTTGGTGTTTTGCTGTTTGTAACAGGGTCAGCAACCTGGATCGTTTCCGAGGCCTCCATATACGGTTCCTTCTCCTTACCCTCCTCATCAAAGTGGCTCAATGCAAGTTTTAGGTATCAGTTTTTTCCTAACATAATTTGTTACATACGGTTATAGAATGGCATCGGTTAATGCAACAACCATTGTCTGTTAAATGTGGAGATGAAGGTTATCTAGAAAAATGACACTTGGAGCTAGGGACCTCTTCCTTCTGAGAAATGTTATGTTTGATGTAAGTGGTTATTCACCATAAAGTTCCATCTGATGGTTCTTTTCATCGTCTGAAAGATGGATTAATGGAGAATTCACCTTAAAGTTTTTTTTGATGATTCTACTGAAAGTTGGATTATAGTGGCTCAAGGGTATTCCCAAGCATATTGGATTTGATTATGAGCAAACTCTCACTTCAGTAGCCAAAATAGCGTCTATGCACGTCTTTGTTGTTGTAGTTGCTATCCATCATCAGCCTGTTAAGATTGTTTTTCTCTGTATCTACTTTGAGGAGGTATATATGGATCAACCAGTAATTCACTGTTTAGGAGGAAGCATCCAAGGTTTGTCGTCTTCGATCCATATATGCCCATAAAACAATCCCTTATACCATGTTTTGCTGCTTCTTGGAGGCATTTCAACATTTTCGGATATCTTGAAGTCACGTTGATTTTGCTGTGCTCTCTCATCTACCGACGACCATATTATTCGTTCATGATTTAACTGGAGAATGTGGGACCTCTCCTTTCGATCAGGTACTACGTTGTGATTTATTATGTGACAAATCCTTCGGATAAACATCTGGACTCTTGATTTCTTGTTTATTAAGTGTATTTATTGGGTAACAGCTTCTATGTACTCTTAGTGGGTATTATAAACAATGATTTTGTCTTTGTCCTGAATGTTTTTTTGGTTTCCATTTAATAATAATGTTCGAGGGTTTACTAGCCTCATATAGCAGTTGTGTCATCTCTTTTACTAGCCTCATATAGCAGTTGCCAATTACATGTACCCTAAATTAAGGTTGTGCAATTTGCTTCTTCTATTCGCTTCTATGCTATTCACCTGAACCCGACCCGAAACAGCCCCGTACTCGATTAGCCCTGTACCCAACCAGACCCGAACCCCGAACAGTATATTTCGGGTTGTGTCTTTTTACCCCGAAACCCGATCGGGTTAGCCATTTTCGGGTCCGATCCAATCCGACCCGACCGATGCACAGCCCTAATGGTGAATTAGGAATTAGGGAATATCAAATCTAAAGATTTTTTTTCACCATCCCCATATTTCGATAAAGGATGTTAGATGATAACCATTTGTGTGTCATAGTAAAGTTCATTCCACTTATTGTAGCGTCTACTTCTTCCGCCCATCCACCAATCTACTGTAAATTATGACCCAAAACTATGATGTTGATTCAAGAGAAATGGATAAATAATTCTGAAAGAAGAAAGGGAGATACAAGAAAACTTGTGTTTTTTGTCTTATTTATTTATATCTATAAGATACTTTGCAAATTGTTGGTTAAACATGAGTTCTCGGTATATCTAAATAGTGCCAAAGTTTATACATACAGAACCGCTGAAAATTTGATCCACACAACTAGCGACCGGGGGGGGGGGGTTGGGTTGAAGGCAGCAATGATGGGGGGCTGAGGGAGATGACGACGACGACGAAAAGGCTGGGCTAAGGGCAATGGTGTAGCAACGGGATTGAGATGGGGGTGGGGGAGCGTGGGGGGAACATGGAGCGACGACTAGATTTAGGATATTATCTTTAGATTTTTTTTTTATAATTTGTAGTTTTACCTGCATAGCAGGTTGCATGTTACAATTTTAACTAATAAGAATTTATTTAAAACATTTTAAAAAGTCTAAAGATTTATTTACCAGGTTTTGAAATGTTCAAGGATTTAATTGTTTCAAAAAATTGTCCAAAAACTTAACCACTCTAAACACTCAAGTCCATTGGTTTTTGTTAGACTTTTCTCTTTCATAATTTATTCAAGGTTCTCAATTTTTTGAAATTCATCTAGAACGTCCTGAAACTCAGAATTATATTTGCCTTATTACCTAAATTTATCTCAAATAAATCATGATTACACCATCAAAAACTTTGACACTAAAATCACCAACAATGAGTTCTCAAAACAAGAGTGTAAGTTCACAAAATATGACCCGTTTAGCAAGATTTGACCATTATCTCAAATCCCAGATATTTACTATGTTGTGTAGGTGAAGCTTGACTGGTTTCTTTGATGACGTATTGTTTTCAAGTCCAAATGCTATCGCTTCATTTCATTGCATTTTCGTCGAGAGAATTTGCGTGTTGAAGTCTTGAAGAGAGTGCAAAATAAGACATAATGACACAATTTTGAGTTTTTATAGTGAGGACCAATTGACCATGATCTCACAAAACCATTTTAGATTTTATATTTTCTTGAATTAACAAGTAACAACGGGTATTAAGTTAATGTGGCTAGAGTAATGTTTATCCCATATATTTTCCTGAATTAACATGTAATAATCTCATAAAATCATTTTAGATTTTATAATATCATAAATTAAACATGTTTACAAAAGATCATCATTTCACGAATAAAAATATTCATACAAAAGTGATGTTTGAATTTTACACATGTTTAATTTCTGATACTATAATTTTTAGTAAACATATTTGATTAGATTTACACTATTTAAATGATAAAAATATTAAAATTAAAAGTATAATATTGTAATAGGAATTGGTGATGTTATAATAAAGTAATTTTGAAAGTACAATTCTATAATAAAAAATGTCATGTCAGTACTATCGTACATGTGGACAGTCTACGTGGACGATGAGGTGATAAAGAAACTTGCTATAATGGGTAAATTTAATTAAAAGGTTACTCAATGCTATAATGAGTAAAATTTTGAAAGTATGATATTCTAATAAAAAATATTTTAAAAATACATTGCTGTAATAAAAAAAATGAAAATACAATGTTATAATAAAGAAATTTATAAAAATTTAAAAAAAATTATACAAATAAAGTAAAAAGGGAGATCGGTCACTTTTTCTTTTTGCCACTGGATTTCAATGTTATCCACTTAGGGAAGCCATGTGACCGGTCCGGTGCCGGGAAGTATAATTCGTGAACCCAACCAAAAGTAAGTAACAAGTAAACATGAGCCGGTTGGTTTTCACTAGTCTTGCCACTAAATCCTTCTTACTGCCTCCCTCTTTCTCTTCTTTTCACTCGAAAATTTTCAAATCTTCTTCTTCTAGGGTTTGTAGGATGGCATCGGAATCGTCATCGTCGGAGGCATCATTGTCACCTTCTCCTTCGTCTGCCATCGATTTCTTGTCTCTTTGTCATCGCCTGAAGGTATTGGGATACATTCAACTCACGCAAATATGAACTGACTATATGTTATCCTTTTTGGGTTTTGGATCGCATTGTCATATTTGTCATGCTTATATTTAGTTTTATGAAGTGTCGGTGAGAAAGAAATTTGTATAAGGTAATGGCAAAACGATACTTCTGCAAGATAAATTTAAGTTGAAGAAAGAGTGTAGAGTCTTCGCTATTCACTAAAGCATTGAACACTGCATTTTTTTTATTTGGTTCAGATCAGTTGTTTGTGTGTGCATGTTAGTAAGCTCAATTTATAGTTACTTTGTTGGTCATTGAGATGTAAATCCCTAAATTGTGAAATAGGTTGATGTTTACAAACCCCATAGTTTCTCAAGTTATCATCTCCTTCTTCTACCATTGATGTCTTGTCTCTTTGCCCTCACCTAGAGTTATCGTGGTATCTTGATTCAAGTGAATGCCAATTGCTTATGGATCAAACCATACCTTATCCCTTTTTGTGTTCTTGGATAGCAATATCATTTTGTGTCTGGTTGTCCATATTCGTCATGTTACAGTAACTTTTATTCAGTGTCGGTGAGAAAAATTGCAAAGATAGTGGTAGAATGGTTTTTTTCTCTGCAGGATGTAGTATATAAGTTGAAGAAATAAGTAGAGTCTTTACTAAAGCAGTAAACATAATACATTTTTATGTGCTATTGTTTGGTTATTTGTGTATATAGACTTAATACACCTCTCGAGAATTTAAATCAATCACTAATACTAACATGTCATCTTGGGTTTGTGATGCCGATTGCCAAAAAAGTACAATCAAGAAGTTGTGCTCTGTCCTATCAAAGTTGCAACTCATGACTCTACACGTTCTTGATAAAAGTGTTTCCCTACGTATTAAATCTATAAAATACCTTTAAATACTAAAATAATTGAATCTTGTGGACCAAAATCATTAGTGATAATTTTATATTATGATATTGTGTATACGCTATATTTAGACCTGATAATCACCCAAAATAATTAAAAGTGCAATTTGCACGGAAGTTCAAAGCGGAAATTAGATTTTTTTTGTATCTTAGTTTAGACAGGATCTTCAGCAATCGTCAAATTACTACATGCTTTGTCTTAAATACTCCATCTCAACCTCATTTTGCAATTTCTTCTTAAGATCAATAGTAACAGTAGTTAGGGAATACATCAGAGAAGTGGAAAGCAGGGAAATCAATGAAATGTATAGACACTTGGTTAATTACAAAAAAAATGTTTGTATGCTTTGAAACATTCCCTTTGAAGAAACCGTGGGCCTCACCATTTACCTTCACCGAGACTGAAGCTGTAGAAACACATGCCATGATCTAATCTAATCCACCATTCTGATATGAACCTGAAATGTCTTAAGAAACTCCAGTCTATATCATAGGCTTTTGGAATGTTAACTTTGAAAGCAGATCTTGCTGTCCATGCAGAAATATGGTACCCCCTCATAAGTTCGCGGGTGGTTAATAAGATATTATCTGAAATTCCGCGTCCCAGTATGAAAGCCGATTGTTTCATCAACGATTTACTCCAAGCAATCTTTGATTCTATCTGAAAGAATTTGGCTAATGCACTTGTACAAGAGATTACAACATGCAATAGGGTGGTAGTCAGTCACCTTATTCGGAGTAGACACTTTGGCTATCAAAATCAAAGGATAATAGTGTTCATCTCTGTAAACAACTTTACACTAGTAAAAAATTACCTAATGGCAACACAAAATATCTGCACCCACGATTGGCCAATCAATTTCTATTTTGCTGTAGGTGTCACCCTCCTAATATTTTTTGATAAGTTAACAAGGCAATAGAGTACCTGATTTAATCCTCGTCCTTCTATTATGTGACTTTTGATTTGAGATCCACTTTCAATTGCCAAACACTATCACATATCTTTTCGAGATATAGAGCATTGACATGAGGTTCCAAGATTGCACAGACACTTAATTTTTTGTTACTTGCTATCTCTCTAACCTCCTCCTGTTTTGGGGCTTGATTCAATCCCTGAATGTTCCAGGAGGCAAGACTTAGCAACAAAGGAACAATCTGAGTCGTCTTTTCATTATTGCTGACGTTCATGCACTATTTTTCATGAGAATAGTTGTTTTGCCATAGTTACAAGTCATTTACAATATCCTCCACAAGTACTACATTCTCCATGTAATGCTCTTTATCTTTTTAGACGTCATTAAGAATTGGTTTAGAAGGACATCAAACCTGTTTTGAGAAACCTTCATATTAGTGTTCCTCTTTAGGGTGGAAGCTTTCACTTTTGGGTCTTCAACCACCGGACATGGTTGAACCCATTTTTATGGCTGAAGTTGTGCCTTTTGGACCACCGGATGTTCCTGCATTTGATTCGAAGTTGAACCCATAATCTCTGTTTCTGTACCATTGCCCCTATTATTTAAACTCAAATGGAGATTGGTCCTAGAATACACAACTAGTGGTGGAGGAAAGTTTTCTTGAGCCTTCTAAATTCCGTCTGTTTGACACTCTTTTATATTGTTTCATAGGGCCTTTCCAGGTGACCTTTGTGTAACCACCATCATCCTCATCTATATCCACATTGTCATTTCTTTTGTTTGCATTTGAAACCGCTTTTATCTCTTTGATTTTCACACCCACCGGCAGCTGGGTACAATCGGAAACGTCATGCCCATAAACTTTGCAATGAGAACAGCAAGGTGGTTTCCAATTGTATACCGCCCTTATGGTTGTCATCAACGAATCCAACCCATCTAGTTTGGAGATACGAACATCAATAGCCTCCCAGAATTCAACATGAGTTGGGATGCCAATTAAGACACGGGCATAGCTAGGTCTTTGCCAAGCTTGCACGTACATGCTGGCACCCTCACCGTTACCTGTCCGGCATATACAAGAGATGGACCCAAATAGATGTACTATATACTCGTGTTCTAGCTTAGAGAGACATCGATCCGCTTTCCACCTATTTAGGAATATTGGGACGTTATGAATCTTCCAAGGGCCAGTTTCAAGGAGCTCTTTCATTCGATCATCCATGGAGAATTTGAGAAGAAACCCACATCATTCATCATCACATCATCTAGACCATGGGCATCCCACATGCGGTCAGTTGATGTTTTACAATGAGGAAAGCAAGGTTACGACCCACAAAGTTGCCATACAAAGTGTGGCTGTATTGTTCAGTAGCATGTTCCAATAGTTCTAGGCAAATCGATTGTTGGTCGTTTTTCATCCATAACAGAAGGCTGTATATTGAACCTTAACCTGGGGGGCTGTTTTGCACCTTTGAGCGCACTTGCATAAGACATATGACTAGCATTTTTGCTTAGCTGATCTGAGAGTCTGCCATGGTGATGAGTCTTCAGCTGCCTTAGGAACATTTCGACTTTGATTGTTGTCGCCCATATCTGTGCTTTCTGTTTGTTGCCTTTTCAACATGCCACCCACACCCATAGGTGGTCAAAAATTCCAGTTTTGACGTTGCTGAGACCTTCGATATTTATGTTGAACATTAGGATACCGAACTGAAACGGCTGTTTAACAGCCTCACTAATCCGTTTATCAGCACCCTTATGAGAGACGTCAACCATTGGGAGCTGTTCATGGTTGTTAGCATCAGTCCTAGGGGTTTGAGGTTTATCATGTTCATTGTTGCACTAGGTGGAATCTAAACCTGGAGCTAGCTCTCCTTTGATTCAACTCCCAAGATCACCTTACCAAATTGGGTCATTCGAGCCTTTCAAACTAAAAATTGATCCCATTTCCAAAATCGCACCCACTAAGAGTGGTCAAGTTAGTGTTGTGTGCAGAATTTAGATTACCTTCCTCTAATTTCATTGCAAGCATGTCCATAGAAAGTCTACTATGGCTAGACTTGGAGACTGTCGCAGCAATCCCAGAAGCGATGGCTGTGGTCAAGTTAGGGTTGCAATGCCCGCAGCCATCAACAAATTAGCATCTATATCTAAAGTCGCTATGGCTGCCATACTCAACTTTTCCCTCGGCTCATCAAGGGACTGCCACCATTCAAGTTCACCCTTTGCCGCATACTAGCTCTTGGGACAATGGCTAGCAAACGAGCCATTCAACCTCACAGAAGGTTTTGAGAATGAAAACGAGACCATTGGGAAGACAAATGGCGCAGAAAATGAGGAACCACTAGGCGAACACGAAGAAGCAGGGAAAAATGAGGGAGTGGATTCGAGCACGGTGAATCTCCCTCAGAAGAGAGGAAACATGCCATCCTGGTTTTATAATGTTAACTGTACCGTTGTGGAAACATACAATGAATCCACTATTTTGAAATGAAAGGTTTTGGATTTCAAAGAAAATAGGATGTGAATCAGCTGATGGTGATTGATAACTGATGTATCTGTCAGGATCTTATGTATTTTTTCTCACTGATGCTGTTTTAGTTGTGATTGCGCTTTTGTTGGTTTTAACATATTGGTATCATTATTTGCAATTTGTGTTTGTCAGTCAACCAAAAGAGCAGGATGGGTGAAAAGAGACATTAGAGGCCCTGAATCTATTGCAGACCATATGTACAGGATGGGGTTAATGGCTCTTATTGCTTCCGATGCCCCTGGAGTCAACCGAGACAAGTTAGGTTTTTCTTAGAAAATGAATAGTGATATCATGTGTTGCTTGAGATTATGCAAACAAGATAGAGGGTGTTGTAGCTGATTTTAATCTATTTGCTTTCATCTTCCAGGTGTATAAAAATGGCAATTGTGCATGATATTGCAGAAGGTATCATATATTATTTCTAAATTCTAAATGCTGTTTTTACTTCATAGTCACTTGATGACAATAGAATGATGGTAGGCTTATATTGAAAACTTCCCCCTCTCCTAAAGCAAAAGAAAGAAGAAAGAAAAACCAAAAAGGAAATCAAGTGAGATAGGATAATGGATTGGTATCAGTTTATAGTTAATGTAAATCTTCTTACAGTATCCTAGTTCTTCGAAGGAATGAAATTTCACATTTCATGATTATTGGCTTCAGTTCTAACTTTGTATAGTACATAGTGAACATGGATGCCTTCCTAGTGGATATAATAAACCTTGTCAAATATTTTGATGTTTGAGCACTTGTCAGAAAAGAAAGACAGAGCTTTTACGTAAAAATATTCTGTGACATATTGATGGTATTCAGTGGCAATTGACACAACCAGAGGGGCCCACTTGAATATGCTGTTTTTGTTGTCATTCCGTTGAAATTAAACAAGTTTTGTCTTCAATGTTAGCACTGTCTGAAAATTGGCAACTAATATCGAGTTGCATGCACCTTTAAACTTTTCAATGTTGCGTCAGGTCTTCATCTACATATAGGTAATTAGGACGCTACTTTATAATGACCAATTCCATTGATTCCCAGCATAGTGGTACAAGACAGACTGACAAATGTTTCTATTTGAGGACAATATTCTTATAGCAAACAATAGACTTGCATTAAGGGGAACATGCTTCTTGATTAGCAGGATGGGAAGTATACCAGACAACTCATCCAACCAAAATCAATCTATAAACCCATATCCTCAAATGAACAGCATGCAGTTTGCTGAAGTTTCTCATTTCTCCAGTAAGAGTTCCATGCTGGATGGGAGATTGGGAATCAATTTTCTAGTAATTGAACCGTGTTGTACTGTTGTGAGGCAAGATGAGACTAGAAGGCTTATTTGCTCAATGGACCTGGCACGAACAACAACTATACATTCCCCCACCACCTTCTTCATTAAAATATCCTGCTTTGTGAGAATATGCATGCTTGCTCGGCCATTTACTTTGTAAGAATTTGCTAACCGGAACATCATTGATGTCAAGCCTGGGGGGACATGCTGACAGATTTCTTCTGGCAACCAGTGTTCAGTTAAAATTGATGTTTCTGCCTCTCCCTAGGGAAGTCTTATTAACCATGTCGATCGGTGGAATTGGTGTACTGTTTGTTTTTTTTGGTACTCAGCGTTTAGGTAATCTAGGACTTACTTTTAGCTACTTTTTTTCGTCAAGTGTATTTTGTTTTTTTTTCATGGTTTTTTCTTGCTTTCCGAGTAGCATTAATTTTTTTCCTTTGTTGTAAATGGACTTGCAACTTCCAAGGGGGTATTTTATTAATATCAAGTATTGAATTATTGGATGTTTTCTTGGGAGTTTTCTCTAAGCTATCTCTATTAGTGTGTTGTTCAAAGGATCCTAGGCCTCTTTTTTGTCTTTCCTAAAGAATGGTACGAATAAATTGAAATAAATTTACTAATCATGTTAGAATGGAAGCTAAATAAGAGTCGCCTCATAAAGTACTCTACTAAAGGTGATCCTAATTAGAAGAAAGAAAGGCATAATTGATGCCTGCAGATGGACTTCTGAATTCCAGGCGAAGCTTACTTCTTTGATTAATTTTCAGCATGAGACTGCTTCAAAACACACGTGAAGCTCATCTGATGTAACCTAGATGTGGCTAAAGCATTAAGAAACCTATTCTTCATCTGTGCAAAGATGTTTTCTCTTTTCTCTGGCAGAAAACCATCTATTATGTCTCCTTGGCTATAACTACAGCATACTGAAAGCTTTCATAACCATCAAATAAGAGATAGCAATGTTAGGTCTTTGTGGAGCAATCTAATGCAGCTGGAGGAAGAACTTCCGATAGTTTGTTGCACTCAAAGAGGTTTTGATTGTTTGCTGATTGTGCTTAGTTTTTCGTTTATATGATGCAGAAGAGTGACTTTATTTGTGGAATGGCTTATTGTTTAGTGGCCAACACCTCAATTAGGAGCTGTTTGGCAGTTGCTGAATGGTTTGATGCAGAATGGTTAAGAGGCTCTGTATGACATAGTGCAGATTGAAATATGATTGTTTGGTTAATGTTCTGAATGGACAGTGTGGATAACAACAAATTACTATTTTAATCCTCTGTATGATTTAGTTCTGAATGAAACTACATTTCTGCTTTGCACTCGACAAATTATTTTCAATGACTTATGGTGGATTCTTTGCTCTTACCTTCTTCATTGCTTGGATAGCCATTGTTGGAGACATCACTCCCTCAGATGGGGTCCCAAAGCTGGAAAAGAGTCGGCGAGAGAAAGAAGCACTAGACCATATGTGCAAACTTCTTGGTGGAGGACCACGAGGTGCAGACACACTCTTTCTTTTCCTCTTGGTATAAAACTCGTGGACAATGTTGAATGAGTGATGTTGGCTATTTTGGTGATTCCTTACTTGCTGTAGTATATTACAGCTGAGGAGATATATGAGTTATGGATGGAATATGAAGAGAATTCGACAACTGAAGCTAAGGTTGTCAAGGACTTCGATAAGGTATGTTATATGTAATAATAAGATACTTCACCATTAAAAGAAGTTTTGTATTATTTAGGTGATTTATTTGCAGGAAAGCTGTAGTGGCCAAAATTATAGTTTATTGGTTTGTGTGTATCATCACTAACATTAGTTATTTACTGTTGGAGTCCCACATTGGCTAGAGATGGTCCATCTTCCCCCTCTCTACAAGGGCTCTTTTGGAGAGATTTAAAGGATTTCCACATAATCTAACATGGTATCAGAGTTGGATTCTAACATCTTCAGGGGCCAAACAGACTCAATTGAGCCTCCTTTTAAGGGGGCTTCTCCGTGCAAGGGGGTGTGATCTTTGAGGGCACGTGTTGGAGTCTCTTATCGACTAGACACGGTTCATCTAACCTCTATATATGTTGGAACCTTCCCCCTCTCTATAAGGGCTCTTTTGGAGAGAGAATCAAAGGGGTTCCACATATTCTAACAACTATAAATGCTCTTAGTTTATCATTAAGAGTTTCTGTTATTGGTCTGAGCTTCAATGTTACTTTACAATTAGTACTGTAATACATTTGGACATAGATCCAGTCTGATTGATTTGTCTAGCCTTGTCTGTTCATGTTTTGATGGTTGGGATGGTCTGGACAATAAGGAAGAAAGCATAAGAATCTTTAACATGCTGAGGTTGTTTCATAGCTTAATGGCAACATTTCACTATCTCAACTACTTCTATGTTAACCAATTTGTGATTTGTACTGTATGAACTGATCTTGGCTGTTTTTTGTCCATTCAGATTGAGATGATACTTCAAGCTCTTGAATATGAAAATGGTAAGTTGCTTCTGAAATCTTGAATATGAAAGTATGTTATTGTAGATATGTCTATTCATATGGGAACGAGAACACCATATATTAGCCATGTCATCTCAGGTGTGCATCGTAAGCCTTGATTGACATGCTTATACAGGTGGCCCCGTCTCCAGTGAAAAGAAGAGTCCTTTCTTTACCCAAGTCCAAATAACTAGTCTAAGCAAAAATGTGTGTGGAGCGAGTTTTGTAATTATTTCATCTGTCAGGAAGTGTTTGTTTCCCAAGTGAGAATATAACTTCTTATGCTGTAAATTTGTTATCTTGTCGGCTACCGTAGTTTAGATAAACAAAACAATCAATTTTCAGCAAAGAGCTAAGATGAAGAAAATACAATGATCCCCCGAGAGCCCCACAAATGTTGATGGGTAACACTGTTGGTTGATGGGTGCAAGTATTTCTTTTTGGGTGGTTGGGTCAGGCTGGTCTAAAATGTGATGGTTTGCGGCTTGTTTCTCCAGTTTGCAGTGTTAAAACTCTGATGCTAATTGTTGAAGATATCATCATAGTAGATTCATGTGCGTATTATTTGAAATAGTTTTGCTAGCTGATTATGTTTATATTTTATGCAGAACAAGACAAGGATTTGGAGGAATTTTTTCAGTCTACTGCAGGTATAGGAATTCTCCAAATATGGTTAGACAAGTATGGAAAACTAACCTGTAATGAAAAGAAAATGTGCATTGATCATCATCAACTTGAACAAAATGCATAATACCCTTTTCTGATGGGGTTGATGCATGTCCCATTATTAGTAATTTAATTTCCACAATCTCACTCTACACAAGTTAGTTTGTATATTTCATCATGAACTCTTCTCTCTAGAAAAGGAACAAGACTTAGACTTTGGATATTTTCGAAAAGCATCAGCAGAAACTGTGTTATCTAATAGTTGTCTAGTGTATGTATCATCATGGAATGGAAGTAATGCTGATATCTTATTGCAGGCAAGTTTCAGACTGATGTTGGTAAAGCCTGGGCCTCAGAGATAGCATCAAGAAGGAAAAAACAAGACTAGAAAAGGTCCTTGTTCTTATGCATTTAGAGCTACACTAATTCATGTTGATTCACTTGACTAGTTAGTCAATCTTTCTTAGCCTGCTTACCTTTTGCTTCTGCAACTTTCTTGCTTAATAAATCTCACTCTTTGTTGCATCACATCTTAATCAAGTCTTTATGTATCTGCTGGTATTTTTTCTCTCTTTTAAAGGTGTTGCATATCCAACAACAAAATGACATGAAATGCAAACTCTGCCTACTTATCCCACAGTTCAAAGGTCCACTTGCAACAAATTTCAAGTGGTTCCTTGCCAAATTTAAAGTTGCAAGTTGTATGTTATATCCACGACATGTGTCACCCAGATACATTGTCAACGAGCCATGTAAACCTAAAGGGTTGCACACAAAGAACACGTATGCTTCCACTAAAGAAAGAATCTAAACATGTGTACTGTTTTGTGATTATTGTAATTACAGGGTTTAATCTATAAATGTTTTTATAAGATATTATTAGATAAATAAATACTCATTTTAGATAATGATTAAGCCTTATTAAGAGTTATGGTCAATCTCGAATAATGATCATATAAGTAAGGCTTAGGGGATAAACCAAAGCAGATGATTGAGTTCTGATAACTAGTTGTAGCCTCAAAACCCTTACAATACAATTATAGAATTAGAATTTTTTGGGTTAGCACCCGGTGGGAGTTCTAAACGTGTTCGTGTGTGGACACCCGATAGAGGAAATCTGATTAGGTTTCTTAGTGCTACGTCAAAGTTTAATTTCAATCACAAGGTAAATATTTTAAACATCCTATGGTTTGTGTAAATTCGTTTTAATTGTCAATGGATTCGGATTTGGGTTTTATTTAGGAAAAAAAAATTCTAAACGTTTTTATAATCGGGTTCTGTTTTTCCGCTGCGTTTTATCTGGTTATTTTCGCAAACTAAAACCCAACAGTGGTATCAGAGCCATTTTGACAATTATTCCGATTTATCGGAAGTAGTTAAAACGGAATGTCATTAAACGAGATTTTAATTTTGAAATGATTTCAAAGAAAACAATTTCTGCCGAAAGTTTAGGTCACCCAATCCTTTTCTCACCGTTGCAAGGCGAGTTCTGGCCCATTAAAGGGGTTGTTGCCTTTTCATGGCGGAGCCGAGAACAAGGAGAGGGAATAGAAACCTATTTTTGCTGAATTTCGTTTAAAGTTAGGACTGGTTTAAAATTAAATTATGGACTAATTAAAACCAAATATGTTATTTGGATTTTAATAAAAGTCTTGTTAGATTTGATCTTTTAAAATCTCGATTAATTTTCGTTGTTAATTATTTTTATTTTTGGTCAATTATTGAATGTTTATTTAATTGTACTAACTTTTTTTTTGTTTTATATTATGTTTAATATTTATATTATGTAATATATAGATTGTCCCGCCGATACCTGTGGTTGATTTATTTATTTATTTTTGTCGGAAAATTAAAATGTATTAATTGCATGGGTTGTAATTTTTAATTTTAATTTTCTAGATATGACAAATGTAAATGGAATATAATTTTGTTGTATTTATTTAAATCAACGAAGACGGCATTCCAAAGAAGATGAAGTCCTTGGAGTTCACCAAGATGGCGAGGCCAGTGGGAGCTTGAATACGTTCTTAGTTTGACTGTGGTTGTTGTGTTGGTTCACAACACTAAGTAGGGGAAAATTCATATATTATCTTGTGGTTGTTTATTTTGTGTTTTTTTATTTGCTTATTGCTATGATAATTGCAAAACGTTTTAAAAAATCAAATGCAAAACAATTTCAAATCCGGTAATTAAAATTTTAAAATGATAATGTTTATAAAAAATAAAACCGATTTTTACAGGTAAACTTTCAAAACAAAAGGATTTTAATTTTAAAGATAAAATTAAACGTTTTAAAAGTAATTAGAAAATGTTTTTCTAAAATTTAAACTTTTCTAAAACGTAAACTAAATGCCACCCATTTAAGGTACTTGTCAAGTCTTACAGATTTCAGTATGATTAGTGTCTGGTCTGTCATATCGGATGATAGTAGTGTGAGACAATGTGATAATCGGGTCCTGGTTGTCACCCAAGGTATTCAATTATGTGAATTAATTGTTAAGGTGGATACATACTTACGTGTGTTAAATACATGAGTATGTGTATTTTATGCATAGGAATACATATATATGCATAATATGTAAGTATATATATATATATATATATATATATATATATATATATATGCATGTGTGTGTGTGTGCGCATGAGTTTACATGCATGTATGGATGATTTTATGTGTAAGCATGCATATGGGTGAAGGCTGCAGTAGCCGACTTTCCTATTTTAGAAAGTATAAATAAGGGGTTTGAGAACTTAGGCAAGTTTTCTTGCATCTTGGAGAATTTGAGAGTATTTTGATGAGAAGTGTTGTCCGGATATTCATATTGGTTTTGCATCTTCTTCAAAACTAAAAATTCTCATAATGTGAGTGATTTCTAAACCTCTTTTATACAAAGTTTGTTACTGGTTTTATTGAATGTTGCTTATTAATTTTGAAGAAATCATGTAGTCGATTTGGGTTTTTATCCAGACAAAGGGGTGACCGCATTAAGGATAAATCGAACATAGTGTTGTCCGGATTGTTTTAAGTCAGACACGTGTTTTCCGATTTAGCTTTAAAATCGAACATAGTACTATGCGATTTAGTGAATTGGTGAGATTTTGAATTATGTAAATCGGTCAATGGTTTTGAACAGAGAAGTAGGAATACGCTCAAGGACGGTTCGATTTAGTCTTAAATCGATCAAAGGTTGCCTGGTGTTGTATAATCCGATTGTGCTTTGATCGGACTTGATTTAGTGTTGTCCGATTTGATAAATCGGACAAGCATAGTGCTGTCGGGATTGATATATCGAACAAATATATAGTATTGTCCGGATTTTTAAATCGGACAAGGGATTTGTGTTGTTCGGATAGTTTGTCTGGATAACTAATTTGGTATAAAATTTACAAGTGTTGAGAATTTTTGGAATTTTCACAATTTAATAATTATTGGGTTTAATTACGTTATTGTGAAAATGGGTATTTTATATCTTTTTAAAATAAAAAAATATGTTTCTACCAAGTGTGGTGACGTAAGTCTATTTTGGTATGGAATTGGATATTTGGAAATGTTTCTGCCAAGCATGGTGGCGTAAGTCTGTTTTGGTATGAAACTTATTTTAAGAGGTAGTTCCCCCCCCCCCCCCCCCGACATGGTGATATTTGTCTGTTCTGGCTTGGAACTGGGTGATGGGTACTTCCAGACGTGGTGACTTATGTCTATTATAGTAAGTAATTCTGTTTTGATGGAAGAATAAGAGTGACATATCAAGGAGAGGTGTATCTTGGAATAAGGAAGACATTGTCATATGTGGATATTATTATAACTCTTATTATTATTACTAATTGGATTTAATAACTTTGAATTATCATTTCTTCGTGACCTGATGAATTAGAGATATTATTCTTATTAGAAATAATAATTTAGATGTTATTGAGAAGGGGAAAATGATTTGTCACAAGAGGCAGTTATTGCCTAAAAACTTTCTATTAATATTTATAATACATCCAGAGGAATTCTGGTCTTTTAAACCAAGAGTGGCTCTAGTCTGTTGAGTCAAAGGGGCTTTGGCCGCAATATTAATTCCATTTTGGAATATTGGATATTTGAATAGGTGCATTTGTATCATGAATTGATATTAATAAGTTGATCTTATTATTCTTTATATTGAGAACTACATCATTTGGCTGAAATACAAATATTTCTGAGCAAAGTTATTTTATCATATTTTGGTGTTTATCACCCTGCATATGCAAAGAAGATATTTACTCACTAGACCCTTCTGGTCTAACCTTCATTTTCTGTTTTAAAAATATGCAATGTAGGAATAGCGGGGTCCAAAGATAATAAGGGGAAAGGGAAAATGTGATTATTTTCTTAAATCTGATATCTGCTTTTGAAGATCTGCATGAGATTGCTTATTTTTGGAAGATACATGTTGTTATACATGTGATAGTACAAGATTTAATTTTGGAATTTTTCATATGTAGATTTTGTACATATAAGAATCATTGTACTAGTGGGACCATTGTGGTGTAAACTGTATTTCTATGTAATGAAATATGTGTTATATGCAAATGTAGTGTGCGGGGGTGTTATAGACAAGGTATCGAGACTATGAGATTCAAGTGAAACTTGCACTTGGCCACTCACTTGAATAGTTGTGTTTTGGACAACTGATCCCATTAAACCTGAATTGAGAAATTAGGTGGGATCACGATACCTTAGTATGATAAGTTTACTTAAAAATATCATAGTATGTGAATTGATCTTCTATAAGTATTTTTAAAGCGTTGAAGTAAGATTAAACGTGTCTATTTGATATATGATATATTAAATAGAATCTCACGATCACCCAAGAGTTATGTTGAACATGATTGAATGATTCCTACCTAAATAACTTATTTATCAGACAATTTATTACCATTTGAAGAAGTAGATGAAATATGGATCTTAGCTCAAATAAAATTGATTTTTGAAAGGTTAATTTATTTAATTTGAGATTTTAAAAGTCAGACTAAAATAAAACTTGGATATTGTAGATATCTGCATCCACTCCAAACCCAGACTCAGCCACAAACAACTTGTCCCAATTTGCACTCCGGTATGTCCTTAAAAAAAGAAAAGTTGAACGGGACGAACTTCCTCGAATGGTTTCGCTTCTTAAGGGTTGTCCTTAAGCATGAAAAGAAGCTCTACGTTCTAGAAAACCCCCTCCAAACGCTCCTGCTAGAACTGCATCCGCTGAAGTCAGAGGTGCCTTTGAAAGGCATCAGAATGACTCACTGGATGTGGCATGTCTCATGCTTGCCATTATGACTCCTGAGTTATTGAGGGATCATGTGGACATGACTGCTTGGGAAATAATTTTTTCACTGAAATCTATGTTCCAACAACAGCCAAACAAGAGAGGTTTGACACAGTCAGTTCATTGCATGCCTGTATGATGACTGAGGGTTCACCGGTCAATACCCACGTCTTAAAAATGAAAGGGTATGTTGACCAATTAACCCGTCTTGGTTTCCCACTAAACTAGGAATTGGCAATCGACTTGG